CCCCCACTACAAAAAGGATGTGGATGCATTGGAGAGGGTCCAGCGGAGGGCAACCAAAATGATTAGGGGGCTGGAGCATATGACTTATGAGGAGAGGCTGAGGGACTTGGGTCTGTTTAGTCTGCAGAAGCGAAGAGTGAGGGGGGATTTGATAGCAGCCTTCAACTTCCTGAAGGGAGGTTCCAAAGAGGATGGAGAGAGGCTGTTCTCAGTAGTGACAGATGGCAGAACAAGGACCAATGGTCTCAAGTTGTGGTGAGAGAGGTCCAGGTTGGATATTAGGAAAAATTATTTCACTAGGAGGGTGGTGAAACACTGGAATTTGTTACCTAGGGAAGTAGTGGAGTCTCCATCCCTAGAGGTGTTTAAGTCTCAGCTTGACAAAGCCCTGGCCGGGTTGATTTAGTTGGAATTGGTCCTGCCTAGAGCAGGGGGCTGGACTTGATGACCTTCTGAGGTCTCTTCCAGTTCTATGATTCTATGGTTCTATGATTCTATGATCCTCCCTCAAGGGAGAGCCTGAAATCAAACTCTAACCTCTTAATAGCTCACTTCCTGTCTCAGGCACATGGACACAAGAATGAAACCCTAGTCTTAAAAAGGTGATTTTATTTACAAAACAAGCAAGATATATTTGGTAAAGCCTACTTGCTTACCAGGTGTTCCAGAGCAACCAAAAGGGTGGATTAAAAGCACAGAGAATTGCTTCCCTGGGATTCAGTTTCAGGTACAGTATACAGCAGGAGGAGCGATTCAGCACAGTGGAGTTTAACGAAACCAGAAAATATCCTGATCGCATCTAACTAAACATTCTCTGTTCACTTACATATCCATTGTTTCAAGGTTCAGTCCTTCTAGCTGAAAATTCCGTGCTTGATTCCCAAGGCTTACTTCATCTTTCCCCGAGCTCTTGCTCTGAACTCAAACAATGTCTGAAGCAGGCAGAACCTGTTCTATTTCAGATCTGTCAGGTCATGTGTATACTAGACCTGGAAGGTCAGCTTAAGGCACACAACTCCAGCTACATAAATGACATGGCTGGAGTCAACATACCTTAAGATAAGTTTGTCACCGTCTTCACAGTGGGAAGTTGGCAGCGGCAAATGCTCCCATCAACTTCCCTTACTCCTCATGACTATGAGGACTACTGGCGCTGACCGGGTGGTGGAGGAGAAGGATTCTGGCAGCAGAGAGAGACTGTGGCAGCTCTCCACTGATCGTCCCCCATTGCAGTGAAAGGCTCTGACGGGGCGAGCTTCTGGAGTCTTGCACTGCAGCATGTGGCTATACATGTTGTGCTTGCACTCTAGATGCTGCTGCAAATGTAGTCATAACGTTAAGGATGTGTCCGTACCACAGTGGAAACCCATCACTGGCTTGTGCCAGCTGATTTGGGCTCATGGAGTTGCTTAATTACATTGTAGATGTTTGGGCTCTACTTTGTAGATCGGTGGGCCCAATTCTTAATTTTAAATTTTCCATAGACCCTCCTCCTCCCCCTCCCCCTGTAGTACCCTTGTGGACCACCAGAGGTCCGCGGACCACAGATTGGGAACCACTGCCATAGAACTCATTTTAGGTTCTTGTGTTCTTTTATAGTGCAACTGGATATCCCGGAGAGCAGATCAAGGCCCCAAAACCATTGAGCAGATTCACAAAGAAGCAAAAATTGAAGAGCAAGAAGAGCAGAGAAAGGTCCAGCAACTCATGACTAAAGAGAAGAGAAGACCAGGTAACGAACCACACAAAGTAGCTCCCATTTCACTGTGGACACCTATCTCATCATATCAAAAAGGCACCAATCTGTTGAATTGTTGTCACGGATATGAGTGAGATTGGCAGATAAGGAAAATGTGAGGATACTTTCTCCCGAGTCCTGCAGTATCAAGCAATACCCACCTAATCAGAGAGGCTGGTGTCTCCTAAAACATAAGAACATAAGAACGGCCATACTGGGCAGACCAAAAGTCCATCTAGCCCAGTGTCCTGTCTGTCAGCAGTGGCCAATACTAGATGCCCCAGAGGGAGGGCTCACAACAGGTAATCCTCACACGATCCCTCCCCTGTCACCCATCTCCAGAGAAACAGAGGCTAGAGACACCTTTCCTACCCATCCTGGCTAGTAGCCATTGATGGACCTAACCTCCGTGAATCTATGTAGCTCTTTTTTTGAACCCTGTTAAAGCTCTAGCCTTCACCACATACTGTACTCCTCATCTCCAGGCCCACCCCAGAGCCATGGTTTAAATGGAGTGTAGACATTTTCATTTTATTTTCCAAAACCAAAAACTTAATTTAGTTGAGGACCCAGGCAATGCGTGATAGAGTTGTCTATGCATATTCTGTGCCTCTCTAATATTTAATCTAGAGTACATCTCCAGAATGCATGCCTAACATTTGCACTGCAGAGTTGTGCTGTGTTCACAGTAGGGCTGCATCATCTTTGACGTTCTCAGATCACATTTTAGAGTTAAGGTCTCTAAGCATTGGGTGTGTTTGGATCATCAGCAACAATTTTCAGCTGGTTTTAATTGACTTTATTTTTTGTAGGTGTCCAGAGGATAGATGAAGGTGGATGGAACACTGTTCAGGGGGCAAAGAACAGTCGTGTGCTTGACCCCACCAAATTCCTTAAAATCACCAAGGTAAGTATCAAAGGATAGTCACTTAATATTGACAAAGGTACTTGGATAATAGTTTGGGAATGTTTTCTTTGTTTGGGTCTATAGAGGGGATGGTTTGGTGCTCCACCATACTCAGTACATAGAGTCCTCAGTTTTGTCTCAGGCTGAATAGCAGGCTCCTTCTGTACTACAGCTTTCTAAAAATTGGATTTTGTATCTTTCTGTGTCTAGTCCAGTTGCTTTTTTTCTGACTACTATCCTGTCCACTCTTGGATCTTCCATAGAGACTCAGGAAGTTGCCTTGGGATGATTCTTCTATTTTTTTGTGATTCTCATTCAGCTGTTTGTATTCCCCTCCCACACCCTACACAGAAAAAGGGTCAGAGGGAAGTAGAAAGACACCTTCTTTCTCAGAGGGTGACAGGTTTTCCGCTTCATCCTCTCTCAGTTGGCAGTGCTTTAAAGAGCTGCCTGGGCAGGGAAGATTGAAGCATCAAGAGTCCTTGTGTAGGCAGAGTAGGAGAGATCTGAGCCCTGGTAGCTGGTTTCCATGTCCAGGGAAACTGGCCACCGCTCCCGCTGCTGCCACTCCTCGCTCTCTGAAACTGAACTCTTTGCGGAGAGGAGCGTTGCTTTCCCTCTACTTCAGTGGTCACCAACCAGTCAATCCGGATCTACTGATAGCCTCTGACAGGTAATCTCAACAGGTTTGGCCAAGAGCCATGGAGGGATGATAGGAGTTACTATCGAGAACTTTCTGGGTGTCTGGCTGGTGAGTCTTGCCCACATGCTCAGGGTTTAGCTGATCGCCATATTTGGGGTCGGGAAGGAATTTTCCTCCAGGTTGGCAGAGGCCCTGGAGGTTTTTCGCCTTCCTCTGTAGCATGGGGTACATATCACAGCTGGAGGATTCTCTGCATCTTGGGGCCTTCAAACTATTTGAAGGCTTCAATATCTGAGCTATAGGTGAGAGGATTATTCTAGGAGGGGTGGGTGAGATTCTGTGGCCTGCACTGTGCAGAGGGTCAGACTAGATGATCATAATGGTCCCTTCTGACCTTAAAGTCTATGAGTCTATGAAGTGCCGGCACTTCAGCTGCCCCTCCCCCTATGGCTGCACAGCTCCTGCCCTTTGCCTTGAAGCTGCCTCCCCACACTCCTGGGAGCCTCCTGCTTGCTGTGCAGGGCAGGAGAGAGAGAGGAGGGTGCTGATGTCGAGGTGCCCCCTCTCCCACTCTGTATCCTATCTCCACAGAGCAGAGAGGGGGCACAACAGGGCTTGGGATGGAGTTGGCTGCCTTTGGGAGCGGTGCAGGGCCAGGGCAGGGGTGCCTTAACCTCACTGCACCAGCACCCAGGAGCCACCTGAGGTAAGCAGTGCCCAGTCAGAGCCCACAGCCTGAAACCCTACCCCAGTCATGAAACCCTCCTGCACCTCAAGCCCCTGGCCCAGCCCCGAGAACCCCTGCATCCAAATACCATCCCAGGGCCTGCCCCTAAAACACCCTCTAGTACCCCAACTGCCTGCCCCAAGCTCAGCTCAGAGCCCCTCTCACACTCCAGATCCCTTAATGAAAGACCAGAGCCTGCCCCCAAACCCGCTGCCCCAGCCTGGTGAAGGGGAGGGAGGGAAGACGGAGTGAGCAGGGGAGGGGCCTCCGAAAAGGGGCACAAAGGAGGCGGGGCAGGGTATTTGGGTTTGAGGTAGATCTCGGATTGCACTTATATTGAAAAAGTGATCTCATTCTTAAAAAGGTTGGAGACCCCTGTTTGCTGCTCCTGCACTCCCCAGCCAGAGTGAGGAATGCAACAAACTGGGCATTTTCCCCTCGCTCCATGACAAAGGGGAACAGCCAGCAATGTTCCCATACAAATCGGAGGAAGCTCCGCCCCCCTTTGCTCTCCCTAAAAGGTGCCTGAAGAGCAGGAGGTTTGGTGTCAGCACCAAGAGCCTTGAGGATGTGTGGTTTGAAATAAGCAATAAACACTCCCTTTGGATTTGTAGATTTCTGGGTACAATCAGGAGGCCCATACCAGCCTTTCACCTTCCTATAGACAGTAATACAGCAAAATTTGCCCCAACCACCATGGGAGCCTCTGCTTTGTGGTATTCTTACCACCAAAGTGGGATGTCTTGTTACTTGTAATCTCAGTGGCAGATTAAGTGTATTGTCCTGCCCTGGAGCACTGTGCTCAAACGGTCTTGGGAACAGCTTTTGGATTTCTAGCCAAAGAAAGGGAACTTGGTCCTTCACATTAGTAGGATGATTTCTTTATTTTGCCCAAATCGGTGCCACCCTACTGCATTTTCCTTTAGAGCTTGGCTAGTAAAAGGCCTATAAAGTGGGACCATACCAGAATAAAATGTTTTCTGCAGATCAAGTACTTTGTTTTTCATCATACGTCAGGCTTCCAAAGCCCTGTGCGGTGAGGCAGGCTTACTCTGCTAATAGTCAAGCTTACAACTTACAGCTCAGACAAGAAAAGCTCTCCTACTATGGGTAGCGCACCCACAACTATCTCCATGGTCAAAAAGAAACAGGCTGTTCCAAGGAGATCTGCAGGGTCACAACCGTAGCTAATATGTCAGTTTGTTGATCAAAACAAAACTGATTTCCTGTTCTTGTAAGACTCATTTCCTGTTCCTTTGCCATCCAGATCCTGTGAACCTTTTCTTTCCATTCCGTGCTCTTTTCTCATCTTTGCGCCTTACAAATTCCCAGCAGTGCCAGCATTGGCAGATTACATAGTGAGTGGAAATCATGTATTCATGAAACAGACTGGTCTGCTCCCACACTCTCAGTGCATCAATCCTGTATTCTCTTCAAAACTAATGTTAAGATTTTTTTATCTTATTGATACGAAGTTCATAGATGTTTTACACTTAGTCTGGGGAGAGGAGAGGAACTTTCCCACATATGTTTTATGCTTGCACACTGAAAGTATCTATTTGGGGTGTGCTTAGACTCCCTCTCTACCTTTTAGAGGTTGAGTTTTGATCTCCAAGAATTGGCTAGAAATGTGTGTCTGTGCTTTCAAGGGGTGTTATAAATGGTAATAGAAGTAGTAAGACTTATATGAAAAGATCCATTTACTGATAAGGAGCAACATTTTCCTATTTGTGAGAACTTGTTCATCTGTGTTGATGTGTATTGCAGTCCACAATAGATGAGAAGATTCAGCTTGTGCCTAAAGCCCAGTTGGGCAGCTGGGGGAAGGGTAGCAGTGGTGGAGCAAAAGCAAGTGAGATTGGTAAGTTTCATCTTTGTTTCTATGCTGTCTTGTGGGGGACGGGGGGTTCAAATTTGGGGTAATTGTACAAGAAGGGTTCCTGAGATACAGCCCCTCCCCACCAAAATATGATTTATAAAATCACCTGGTATTTCTCATGTTTTTCTGTCACATACCTGCAGCTTAGGCAATGGCTCAGAGCCTCCCTAAACTGATACCACCTGCTCAGAATTTATCTCCGATGGTGAATGACATCCACCAATATTTTAAGTTGCTCTAAAATACACAAGAGGACTTCGATTTTACTTTCTAGGTGCTATCAACGTAACTACCAGGAATTCAGTTGGGGGGGAGGTGAAAGAGTCCAATGAGCAGTTAGGAAAATGTGATAATGCTCCTCAACTTCTTGAAGAGAGACTGAGGGTACATCTACACAGCAGTGTTATCTTGGAATAACTGACGTTATTCCAAAATAACATAGTCCACGTCTACACTACAAGGAGTTGTTTTGACATAATGTTGAAATAATGTCCAGCTGCAGGACTTCGACTCCTGTACCTCTCATTTCAGAAGGAGTAAGGGAAGTCTAAGGAAGAGTGTTAGGGACTTCCTGCTGTGCAGACAGCGCCAAAAGCAAATTAAGCTATTTCGACTTCAGCTACTCAGTTGACGTAGCTGAAGTTGCTTAGCTTATTTCGGCTTTAGCCCTGCACTGAGTGTGCTCAAAGGACAGCAAGTTGAGGAGTCAGAATCACTGGGGATATGTCTGCACTGCAATGTAAGCCCAGGGTCAGTAGAGCTCAAGTTAGTGGACCATGCGATTGTTAACTTACAACTTCAGGGCTCTGCACTCTTATGTGAAGCCAGGTTAGGTACGGTTGAATCCTGCATCTCAATGTGGGGCTCCAGCATCTCCATGGGATTGTGTGGATCCCAGTGCAATAACCTATATTTCAAATTTCCTAGCACTCTCCCAAAAAGTGGCATTTTGTTAATGGTGTACTGTGGCATCTAGAGAACAAAGAAAATTCTGTAAGTGATTGTGGTGTAATTTTGATGGACTCTCCACTGGGGATGATCCACTGGGGTTGTGTCTACGCTTGCAGCCTCGGTCCTGGTTTGACTCAGGCTTGGACCTTCTACCTCTGAGACTCTGGGTTAGTACAGTTTTTGCGTGGACAAAAAGAGGATTAGGCTTGAGCCTGAATTCAAATCTGGGGCTTACATTGCAGTGTAGATGTACCCTGAGTAAAAATACATAGGTCTCTTAAAATGAACTGCTCGTAGGTTTTCTGATTCTTACAGTTTTTTAAAATGCAGAACTGATGGATATGAAGCTCCAAAGCAGGAAGGGAAAATGTGGGGGATATTTGAGCAGTAAGAATGTGAGGGGTTAGGAGGATATAAGATGGAGACTCTACACCTTTGCCAACTTACCTCCTTGGGGCTGTGCTATGGCACAGCTCTCAAGGAGCCAACACACTTCTAGACAATAACTTATTAGTGTAAGAGTTTGTTCAAATGCTGTGTTTTTGAAGACCCACTTTGATGACTAGGACCTGAACAAAGAATTGGGTATCTGAAGAAGTAGTCAGTGAGGGATCGTCCTCAAAGAGAGATCAAAAGAAACTGACAGATCAGAACCTTAAAAAAGGAAAGTTAGGCACATTACTTTCCGATGACATACTTGGAGGAAGGGTAGTCAGATTCTCTGACATTGGATGATGTGCTGCCACCACCCCCATGCAAAACTTTAAAAAAAAACACTTTGAGAAGGTTAAAGTGTATAGCGGGTACATAAATCAGCACAGAAGAGTTCAACCAAACCAAAAATTACAGAAAATAACCTATCTAAACACTCCCTGTTCATTTACATATCTCTTGTTCCAAGGTTCAGTCCTTTTCTTTGGTATAGATATTGCTGGAAAATCCATGCTTTGCTCCTGGTTAACTCCTCTCTCCCGGCTCTTGCTCTGCTCTCACAAAAGATTGAAGCAGGCAGAACCTGTTTCAGTTCATACCTCACACTCCCTTCTCATTGGCTCTCATGGCTCCCTGCAGACACTTCCTGGAGATTCTCTGGGTTAAACCCTTTACAGGCAATTTAGCTAAATGAATGGCTGGGATGTCTAGAAAAGGGTAGTACCCCTCCCATCCATCACAGCAGTACATGGCACAGGCACAGAGCGCTGAGATAGGATGGGGAGCTGAGAAAGGGCTTGCTTGGCAGATGGCCCGGACCCACAATCTGAGAACATCTTTTTGAGCCTGTTCTCACCTCTCCAAGCTTCCTTTCCTGCAAATGGAGCCTATGCCCTGCACCTGTATTTGGGGTAGGGACTTTGTATCTACACTCTCCTGCTCCTTCTGCCCTCCAGCTGGTCTAGACAGAATTCAAAGCCACATTACCTGCCCGGGAGCCCTCCATGCTTTCAGGCAGACAGGCAAAGAGGGTGGAATGACTGTGGGAGAGACAATGTTGCAGGAGGCCCTGGAGGTTTTTCGCCTTCCTCTGTAGCATGGGGTACATATCACAGCTGGAGGATTCTCTGCATCTTGGGGCCTTCAAACTATTTGAAGGCTTCAATATCTGAGCTATAGGTGAGAGGATTATTCTAGGAGGGGTGGGTGAGATTCTGTGGCCTGCACTGTGCAGAGGGTCAGACTAGATGATCATAATGGTCCCTTCTGACCTTAAAGTCTATGAGTCTATGAAGTGCCGGCACTTCAGCTGCCCCTCCCCCTATGGCTGCACAGCTCCTGCCCTTTGCCTTGAAGCTGCCTCCCCACACTCCTGGGAGCCTCCTGCTTGCTGTGCAGGGCAGGAGAGAGAGAGGAGGGTGCTGATGTCGAGGTGCCCCCTCTCCCACTCTGTATCCTATCTCCACAGAGCAGAGAGGGGGCACAACAGGGCTTGGGATGGAGTTGGCTGCCTTTGGGAGCGGTGCAGGGCCAGGGCAGGGGTGCCTTAACCTCACTGCACCAGCACCCAGGAGCCACCTGAGGTAAGCAGTGCCCAGTCAGAGCCCACAGCCTGAAACCCTACCCCAGTCATGAAACCCTCCTGCACCTCAAGCCCCTGGCCCAGCCCCGAGAACCCCTGCATCCAAATACCATCCCAGGGCCTGCCCCTAAAACACCCTCTAGTACCCCAACTGCCTGCCCCAAGCTCAGCTCAGAGCCCCTCTCACACTCCAGATCCCTTAATGAAAGACCAGAGCCTGCCCCCAAACCCGCTGCCCCAGCCTGGTGAAGGGGAGGGAGGGAAGACGGAGTGAGCAGGGGAGGGGCCTCCGAAAAGGGGCACAAAGGAGGCGGGGCAGGGTATTTGGGTTTGAGGTAGATCTCGGATTGCACTTATATTGAAAAAGTGATCTCATTCTTAAAAAGGTTGGAGACCCCTGTTTGCTGCTCCTGCACTCCCCAGCCAGAGTGAGGAATGCAACAAACTGGGCATTTTCCCCTCGCTCCATGACAAAGGGGAACAGCCAGCAATGTTCCCATACAAATCGGAGGAAGCTCCGCCCCCCTTTGCTCTCCCTAAAAGGTGCCTGAAGAGCAGGAGGTTTGGTGTCAGCACCAAGAGCCTTGAGGATGTGTGGTTTGAAATAAGCAATAAACACTCCCTTTGGATTTGTAGATTTCTGGGTACAATCAGGAGGCCCATACCAGCCTTTCACCTTCCTATAGACAGTAATACAGCAAAATTTGCCCCAACCACCATGGGAGCCTCTGCTTTGTGGTATTCTTACCACCAAAGTGGGATGTCTTGTTACTTGTAATCTCAGTGGCAGATTAAGTGTATTGTCCTGCCCTGGAGCACTGTGCTCAAACGGTCTTGGGAACAGCTTTTGGATTTCTAGCCAAAGAAAGGGAACTTGGTCCTTCACATTAGTAGGATGATTTCTTTATTTTGCCCAAATCGGTGCCACCCTACTGCATTTTCCTTTAGAGCTTGGCTAGTAAAAGGCCTATAAAGTGGGACCATACCAGAATAAAATGTTTTCTGCAGATCAAGTACTTTGTTTTTCATCATACGTCAGGCTTCCAAAGCCCTGTGCGGTGAGGCAGGCTTACTCTGCTAATAGTCAAGCTTACAACTTACAGCTCAGACAAGAAAAGCTCTCCTACTATGGGTAGCGCACCCACAACTATCTCCATGGTCAAAAAGAAACAGGCTGTTCCAAGGAGATCTGCAGGGTCACAACCGTAGCTAATATGTCAGTTTGTTGATCAAAACAAAACTGATTTCCTGTTCTTGTAAGACTCATTTCCTGTTCCTTTGCCATCCAGATCCTGTGAACCTTTTCTTTCCATTCCGTGCTCTTTTCTCATCTTTGCGCCTTACAAATTCCCAGCAGTGCCAGCATTGGCAGATTACATAGTGAGTGGAAATCATGTATTCATGAAACAGACTGGTCTGCTCCCACACTCTCAGTGCATCAATCCTGTATTCTCTTCAAAACTAATGTTAAGATTTTTTTATCTTATTGATACGAAGTTCATAGATGTTTTACACTTAGTCTGGGGAGAGGAGAGGAACTTTCCCACATATGTTTTATGCTTGCACACTGAAAGTATCTATTTGGGGTGTGCTTAGACTCCCTCTCTACCTTTTAGAGGTTGAGTTTTGATCTCCAAGAATTGGCTAGAAATGTGTGTCTGTGCTTTCAAGGGGTGTTATAAATGGTAATAGAAGTAGTAAGACTTATATGAAAAGATCCATTTACTGATAAGGAGCAACATTTTCCTATTTGTGAGAACTTGTTCATCTGTGTTGATGTGTATTGCAGTCCACAATAGATGAGAAGATTCAGCTTGTGCCTAAAGCCCAGTTGGGCAGCTGGGGGAAGGGTAGCAGTGGTGGAGCAAAAGCAAGTGAGATTGGTAAGTTTCATCTTTGTTTCTATGCTGTCTTGTGGGGGACGGGGGGTTCAAATTTGGGGTAATTGTACAAGAAGGGTTCCTGAGATACAGCCCCTCCCCACCAAAATATGATTTATAAAATCACCTGGTATTTC